AGTAAGGTTTCATTAAAGATGGTCGTAAATTTACAATGTCCTGTCCACAGGAACCGTCTCTAAGAAATTTTGAAATCTTGCAAATGTGGGAGTCAGGCTTTATGTTGCTTTGTTCGCCTGACCTCTGACTTGACCTTGCCTCACCTCCTTGCTTTTCCTTCATCCCTTTGTGGGAGACTGACATTCCCAGGAAGTGTGTTTCTCACCTGGAGCATCTTATTTTCCTGCCGGATGTGGGGCAGCTTGACTCTGGTAGCGTTTGCCTTGGGGACGACAGGACGAAGGAGCCCCTCCCGCTGTTTGTCTTTGGTTTGTGAACTCACACCAATCTGGGCTTTTTCAGGCTGAAGATCAAATGGCAGTTTGGTCTTCAGCCTGTAAAGTGATGATGGTCCCCAATGAGCTTTGCTCCAGCACCAGGGGGGTAAATTCCATGCCAGTGACTTTGCCGGAGCCTCGCTGTCCTGCTCCCAGAGCTGAATTACTGTTGCTTTTGTCAGTTCATTAAAGTGTCTGTTCCTTCCCGTGCTGCGGACCTGTCACGGAGGCGACCTGATCGGTGCCTGCGCCAAAGTGTCCCGAGGGCCCGACACTCGATCGGCAAGCCTCCCTGCCCTGTTGCAATTTTTCAGTCAGCCGAAAAGAAGGCTGAACCCCCCACCCCCCATCTGCTCACATTGGGTGTATTCAGTGCTGACCCATACCCATAATGCCCTCCTGAAGTGCAAAGCATCTGCTTTGAAAGTCGCTCTTTGATTGGTCGTCCCTGGTTGTGATACTGAACGATGCTCCCAAATTTCAGACTGGCCGTATGTCCATATACTCGCATCCAGACAGCTCAGGAATGCTGGGTTTTGTTTGACTCCCTTCCATTAATGATTGATTGCTGTTTTGGTTCGACTTGCGGATGCATTTGAAGATATCGCATCTCACTGGTGTTGCTGAAGCTGGCTAGATTAAACACCGGTAGCCTGGAACCGGTGCTTATACACGATCACGCCCCCCCATTCATCCCCCGGCTGCCAAGCTGGCAGAGTGAGCCTCCCTCTGCTCCTGCCGGATCTGGGCCGGCGCCCTGCTCCCTGGCGTTGATCCCACGCGGTAATGCCGTCCAATCACAGCTCGACCCACCTCTGGGTGGGTCGTACGGAGCGTGGGCAGCTGGAATGGGGGTGGTGAGGGAGGCAGTGAGCGCTCCCACGAGAACATTTGGCTGGTGATGGCAAAAACGCATCCAGGGAGAGTCCCCCTGGGGCCATGCCGAGCCGGCAGCACTGGCTGTGCCGTGACCGCGGGCGGCACAGAGGCACGGAGAATCAGCAGCCTGCGGCTAAGGGAAAGCTCAAAAATAGTAGTGTAGTTGTAAGACATGTAAGTAGGTGTTCTGATCAGAGTGACACCATGTCGGTGTCTGGATCCCAGTGTTCAACATAGCAACTTGTGCAACGGTCACGCAGAGTATTAGAGCTTCCCGTTGAGTCTGATTTGTTGGAATCAGTTATTAATGTGGCGCTGCTGCATCCTCTGCATGGTAGTTCTTGGTTTTCATCCCTTTGGTATTTCTCTGATGCCAGAGGTGACTAATTGCATTTTGTGTTACCGCTGCTGTCATTGCATCGCACTCGATTTGTTTGTGGCATTTTTTTTGTTTGTGGTGAAGCAGTTAAATTTTCACAACATTTTTTTTTTTT